ATCCAGAGAGGATGAACTCAGTCAGCTGGGTGTGGTTTCCTGCAGCTTGTTCCTCTGCTGGCTCCATCTGGGAGGAATCAGACAGACTGTCAGAGCTGTACTCACTGCACCAGGATCACACTGCTTCAAACCAGGAGCCTCTTGGGGATGCCTGGAGAGCTGCTGGATCAAAGGGGGGGAGTCTAGAGGAGGCTGGGCTGAGCACATTGAGAGGGCAGTGGCTGGAAGTGTGTGGTGCCAGTGCCCTCCAAGTGTCATTGTCCGGTGGTGTCACCAAGCCTTTGACCAAGAGGAGCTGGCATTGAAGGGGTGGCTCCATCATGGGTGCAGGGTTAGCTGCTGAGGACCTGCTCTCCCCCCACGTGTCAGCTCTGTGCTCCCAGCTGCTCCCACAGGTGCTGCCTGCAGTCAGGGGAACGCCCGGGTGACAACTGAGACACCCACAGACCAAAGAAAGAAAGAAAAACCCTTGTGCTACCTTAGGGAGCAGTGGGCGATGCTCCTTGCACTCTGTTTTTCCTCCTGAGTGGGCTGACAGGGCAGGCAGCCTTCCTCCAGAACATCTGAAGTTCAGAGCAACTCAACTTCAGATGGCAGCCAGGGAAGCTCAGGCTGGGGGAGGCTTTGGCTCACATTCACATCAATCCCCAGCTGCCAGGGGGACAGAAATCCTTCCACGAGCCCAGCTTTGGGGAAAGCACTCCCAAATGGAGCAAGGAGAAGCTGTGAAGGGAAGATGTAAGCCAACTCCTGTCCACCAAAACACCCACAGAGCAAAGAAATCAGCACCAAAGCAAACCAAACAAAAATCCTGTCTGTAGGCAGGCAAAGGAAGGAGGAACAACTCAAGGCAGAGGTACCCATAGGGAATGGTGAGGAAGGGCAGAGGGTGAAGCTCAGGACTGTCACAGTCATATTTTCTGGAAAAATCCCTTTGCCCAGGATTCCTCTCCTGGGAAGCTGAGAAGCCTCAGAGAAAAAGGAAAACAATATTATCTGATTTGCTTCTCCTGTGTTTTGCTCATATGGAATGTGTTTGGAGATTGCTTACCCACAGGTGATTGTTTCATTGGATTCTGGTGTGAGTTGTTTTGTCTCATTGCCAAGCTGTGTTGAGACTGGAGAGAGTCACGAGTTTTCATTATTATCTTTTCAGCATTCTGTAAGTATCCTTTCTCTATTCTTTAGTATAGTATAGTTTAGTATTCTTTAATATACTATAGTATAAACTAATAAATTAGCCTTCTGAGAACATGGAGTCAGATTCATCATTCCTGCCTTCGTCTGGGATCCCCACAAATACAACACAGGACCATCTGTTCATGACTCACATGGCCTCATTCCCATGAGGAGGGTTCTGTGTGAGGGATGTTCCCAAAGTGCTGGACCAGCTCTGTTTTCTCACTCCCAGAATGGGAAACTGAGGCACTGAAAGAGAAGAGATCAGCCTGCCACAGAGGAGAAAGGATGGTTAATTCTGTGTCCTTCAGACTCAGCATCTCTTACCAAAGGGGCCACCAGCCACTGCCCTACAGCAGCAAATCTCAAGGCACAAAATGCATTTTGGCACCAGAAATGTGTCCAAGAACAGAGGGGGAAGCACCTTTGGCTCTGTTCACACAGGGACCAGTCAGCAGAGCTGGCACAGAGAAGGACACAGCTCCAAGCTAGAGCAGTCCCCAGCTCTGCCACCACCAGCCACCCCTCAGGCTGCTCTATAGATGATACAGGGAGAGAATGATGCATCTGACTCCATCTTATCAGAAGGCTAATTAATTACTTTATTATACTATATCATTCTGTACTATATTACATTTCATCTAAGCTGGATCTGCCAAGCACTCATCTCTGCTCACACTGCACAGAATCTCGTGCCTGTCACACACCCCTGGCCCTGACAGGCCAAGGAAACAAAACACCATCACTTTGGGTGAACAATCTCCATATTGCATTCTACTTTGGCACAAACACAGGAACAGCAAATGATAAGAATTGTTTTTCCTTTCTCTGAGGTTCAGAGAATGTGAAACCCAGAAATATTCTTGGGAAGAATTGTGCCTTGCTTCTCTCTGTGAGGAGAAATGTGGTGACACCGCCGTGTCTGTGACTCACACAGGACATCTTCTGCCCTGGGTTTTATGACATGAACACAAAGCTGTGGATCCTGGCACCACAGATAACTTTAACACACAGGCACAATAAAGAAACTCCCAATATTCTCAGACATTTGGTGCTCTGATGTATTTTGAAGGGATCTTTCTGGGTTTGGCTGTTTCCATTAACACAGGGATGAAAGAACACTTTTGGAGTGGTATCTCAATAGAGCCTGTGCATGACAGATAGAGAATGACATGAAAAACTCCCTGCAGTCTCTAACAGCACACATTCACACTGCTTTTAACTTGTTAGATCCATGTAGCTGAAGTACCTAATTCTGCCCTCCAAGCCCAAGTGAAAGGTTTAGACTACTGCTGTGATCTTCAGCTCTTTATTAAAGTCAGCAACACTCACAGGAGCCACTGTTTTACTGACAGTTCATCTTTTAGTCCCTAATTCAGAACACCTCTCAGAAACAACGCTCAATGTATGTAATTTGTGAAAAAAAGAGTACACTTTTTTTTGTAATAAGTTTTGGCCTTAGCTCTTTCTTGGATTTTCTCTATACATTCACAATAGAGATTTTGAAGTAAAGTGTCCTACCTGCAGCAATTCTGCCATCCAGTGCCTCCAAAATGGGTCATTCAAATTCTGATAGAAGTATTTCCCTTGTTTTCTTACATTAGGGATGGTGTTGGGCTGATGATTCCTACTGTCAGCTTACACTGCAGATTAAAAAATATTTTAAATTATTTTAATTGTTTAAAATTATTTTAAATGCAGATGCTCTTCTGCTGCAGATGGAACAATCTGTTGACATTAGCACACGGCATATAGCATAGAAAGTCAGCCAAGCACTTGTCTCACAGAGAGGAAGAAAAGGAATTTTTTAGATTTGTTTCAACTCAGTTGAAAGCTGAGAGGCCTCAATGCCTCTCTATTTTTTGCCCATGAAGGGAACAGCTGAGCTGCCTCTGCTGCTTAAATAGAGTCTCTTGAAATCCCTAAATCCCCTAGAGGTGGGGTTGATTTAATCTGATTTCAGAGCTGTGCTGCCTCTGTGGGCAGGCAAACATCCTTACAGCAGCACTGAAGTGCTGCTCTGCTTGGAGCCCTCCCTCACTGTCTGCAAAGTGGGACCACAGGGACTCCTCCACACACAGGCATCTCATCTCTTACATGCCCAGGACTGAGAACTCTGCATCCTCACCAGCTGGGGACTGATTGCTAACCTGAAAGGTCTGAGCAGCAGCTGGAAGTGTCAAGGGATGTGTGACTCCAAGGGCAGAATTAGCCTGATGCTGCCTTTGTTAATTGGACTGGTGCCTTTGGGGGCAGTGCTGTCTCTGCTGGGAGGGTTTTCATTCTACTCCAGTCACTCACATTTCATTCTTCAATTTTTAGTGACTGCTTGTCAACTGTGAATCTTTCCTTTCTTTTCCTATTCCTGTACCTGATACCAACCTGCACAGAGCTGTGAGCAGCATCACCCCTTTTCCTTTTCCTTTTCCTTTTCCTTCCACAAACCTGCACAGAGCTGTGAGCAGCATCTGATGTGGTCAGACACAGCTGGTCTGGGAAAAGACTGATAAGAGAACCAGGGCAAAATTTACACCAAAGGCAAAGGGATCGATGACAAAAAGGAGACTGAAGTGAGAGGGGAAATGAAGTTTCTTCATTCAATGACTGAATCTTTTAATTTCACAGAATTTGCTTCTTATCCACACAAGAGATGGTAGCAAACACAGGTTTCATTTCTGTAGCCATCTGATGGCAGGCAAATGCTGGTGATCTCCTAAGCCAATCCCCCTGTGTGGTCAGCAGAGAGGAAAAAAACACTCTAAGGGTGGATTTCATATGAATTTTCCAGATCTCCCATTATTTGTGAAATTGCACCTTCCACCCAACAGGTTTCAGGAGGATCCCCAGGACAGGTACTACAGCTCATGGTCTATTTAGAACACGGGGTAAGGGGCAAGGCCAGTGTGCTCTGGAGGATTTCTTGGTGGGCTGTCTCTAGATCAAAGCCAGGTAGAATTGGGAACATCCTGGAGGTTTCACTGGGCTCACAGCCAAAGGAGGGTCAGGGGAACAGGGGCTGAGTCCCTTCCAGGCTGTAACAGTGAGCCAGAGCTGCCAGGGAGGGCTCAGAGAGGCCCCAGGCAGGGCTGCTCCCTTCTCATGGGGACACCCTGAGCCTGGTCCTCACCTGAGCTCCAGCTGTGTCTCAGCCAGCCCTGCACCTGCCCAGGGCACCTGCTGAGCTCACAGAATGACTTTCCAGCTGGACCTCAGAGTTCCTCATCACCATGGACTTGTCAGATCCTCTAGAACACCAGGGTTGAGGCTGTGAGGCTCCCACTGGCCTTGTCCCTTAGCGACCCTGATTGGTGATTTCTGATTTCACAAGGACATCTCTGATGGCAGCCAGCCCCCCTGATAAAAACCAGAATCTTTGCCTGGCCCTGGCCAGCTCTCCCCATTGTGATCAGAGGATGAGGGGAAAACAAAAAACAAAAAGAAAAAAAATCCAGATGGAAGCAGCCCACATGCAGGGTCCCAGGGGCTCTCTCCAAAGATCTCAGATGGGATTTGCACTCAACAGACACCCCATTCCTCTCCCTGTGCACTATGGATGCTCTGAACCAGCCCAGATCTCCCCATCTTCTTGAGAAGTTCTTCTCCATCTCTTTGAGAAGATTGTGACAAAAATGCAGAGAATGTGTCATGAGCCCCTCACCAAGCCACAGTCTGGGGCTTGTGAGAACAAAAGCAGTAAATGACCCGGCCACAGGCAGGCTGAGGTTTCCTGTGGCAGCTCCACATGACATACATAGAGGTTCTGTACCTGTCTCCTGCCTGGCCACAGCTACTGCTTTGGCTCATCAGGACAGTGGAGGGAGATGCTGCTGCTCCTTCTGCTCACAAATGCTTTTGTCCTTCTGCCCTGGGCTGGGGCTGGTGAGTACACAGAGATGGGACCTGGATGGGAACATGCAAGGGCAAAGGTGGACTCTGAGTAGTCCCTCTCAGGCAAGGTTCCTGCCTCACCTTCTCTCCTGTCTCTCCTCTCCTGCTTCCCTCTCTCCTCTCATCTCCCAGCTCAGCCTGTGCCTGCAACCAGTGAGGCATTAGAGGCACTAATTAGAGCTGTGCCTTTGATGGCATTCGAGTCATCACGAGCCAGAGGTGGTCAGACCCCAGATGATGCTGCTTGTCTTTGTCTCCATTGTGCCCCAGCAATGCCTTGGACAGCCCCAGGAAGGAGAGTTGTTGGGATCACTGGCACATGGCATTAGAGCATGACCCTTTCCTTTCATGCAGCCCAAACTTGACAAGAAACAGCAGCATATTAACATTTATATTTAACATTCATATTAACATTTCCCATCTCTCTTCCAGGAAGGATCATTGGTGGACAGGAAGTTAAGCCCCACTCCAGACCCTACATGGCTCATTTAGAAATTAAGAGTGGCTCACAAACTGGTTACTGTGGAGGGTTCCTGATTCGCCCAGACGCAGTGCTCTCAGCAGCTCACTGTGTGGATAAAATGGGGTAAGACTCCATTGTTCTTGTACAGGTGATTTTTTCCAGTCTCACATCGTGCCACAGCCCTGGTCTGGGCTGAAACAGGGCCCCGTGTCTCTTCAGGCAGAGCAGGGATCTCTGGAGCTGAGCTCCCCTCTCTGAGTGCAGGAATTGTCTGCCAGGGGCTGAGTGACCTTGGGGACAGTTGGGGACAGGAATGCTCACAGGGTCATGGTTCCTCCCATGGCTTAGAGCTGCTGCTGGAGAAGGTGTCCAGGGTCCCCCTGCCCTGCTTCCCTTTGTCCTCAGCACGGGGCAGCTCCCACCTGTGTCAGTGTGGGGTGAGGGATCCTCAGCTGGGCTGGGGAAGGAGCCCGGGTTCGTGGTAGTGAGCTCTTAAATGGGGAATAATGAGTGTTGACTCTATGACTGTAGAAGGTTGATCAAATGATTTATTAAGCCATATTGTACTACTACACTGTATTATACTATACTTCTAAGAAAAAACTTATTGTTCTTTCTAGACAGTTTGATACACACGTGGATCTAATTGGTTAATGAATCAAAACACTATCAATAGAATCTAATTAAGGAATTACTGTTTGGTAAATAATTGCTATAACACATTCCACATGTGCATAAAAAGAGGCATAGCAAATGAAGATAAGAACTGTTTCAAATTCTTTGTCTGAGCTTTCTCACAGCCTTCCCTTGAAAATCCTGGGAAAGTCTGTATCTCTCTCAGTTCAGAGGATATGTGATTACCACAACCCAGGTGAGAGAGGACAACTTGCTGAGAGCTGCTCTGGGGAGGATTCTCCCTCCAGCCACCTGCCCTGGGGGCTGTGTTCCTGCCAATGCAGCTGGGATGTGTTGGTGTTTCCTGGCAGGACAGTGAGGGTCACTGTGATTCTGGGAGCCCACAACATGACCAGCCGAGAGCGGAGCCAGCAGAAGATCCGTGTTGGACAATGGGTCATCCACCCCGAATATTCCCCTGATGACTTAAAAAATGACATTGTGCTGCTGAAGGTATGGCCCAACTCATCCTTCCAGCCTGAGGGATCTCCCCCTGCTCACCTCCCCAAACTTTGAACTTGCTCCTAATCCTTTGATGGATTAGGATCCTTGCTCCTAATCCTCTAACCCCGTGTTCTCTCTGCCTGACAGCTGAAGCCAAGGGCCAGGATCAACCAGAATGTACAATTTATCTCCATTCCCAGGAGAAATGAACATGTGAGACAAGGAACTTTATGCAGGGTGTCTGGCTGGGGCAGGACATCTCCCAATGGGAACAGGAGTAATGTGTTGAGGGAGGTGAAACTGAAGGTGCAAAAGGAAGAAATATGCCAGCAGCTTTTCAATAACTACCAGCGTCAGTCCATGATCTGTGTTGGTGATGAATACAGTAAAAAAGCAACTTACATGGTAAGTGTTTTTTGGGCTGTAGACTTGGGAGGAGGTTGGGACTGAACAGTAAGCTTAGTTCTCAGGTGTAAATAAAAGAACACCAGAATGAACCAGGCCCTTTAGAATGATGACCTGAGGGTCCTCACAGAAGCTCTGAGGCTGATGTGCTCCCTGAATTGGGGCGCATTTTCCAACTATCAGCAACTATCCAACTATTTTTTACTTACTTGTGGATGTTCCACCCAGTCTAGCCAGTGCTTTGCTGTGTAAATTCCTTGTGATATCCTTGCTAGGATGGCTTAGATATTTCCCCATGTCTGAAGTAGGTCCATGTTCTTTTTGAGCTTTTGAATCCCAAAGAGCTTCCAGGCCTGAATTGTTTCATGGTTGGGCTTAGAGGAGCAGTGAGGCAGCTGCAAACCCTGAGAGCTGGGTCTGGAGGGAGGGAGGTGCTTGGAAGAGGAGGCTCTTCACATGGAGGGAGGGAAGAGGAAACTTGCTCCTTAAGGCAGGGAGAGCTGAGCTGTGCCATGTCTGACCCCTCTCATTCCTTTCATGACACAGGGTGATTCTGGTGGCCCATTAGTCTGCAATAAGAAGGCTCATGGCATTGTTTCTCATGGATATGACGACCACCTCTTCCCTGAGGTATTCACCAGGATCTCATACTTTGAGCCCTGGATATGTGAGCAGCTGAGGAGGTTTGAACTCCAAGATATTCCTTACTCTCCATCCTCTGACTAAAATGCTCAGTGCCTCTTCTCCACAATGCATCACGAAGCCCCCCAGGGGCAGCTGAAGTGGAGTCAGAGGAGCCCCTGGGGTGCAGGCACAGGCTTTGGCACTAAGGAGAGTGTCCATGGCATGGTCCAAATGCAGGTCCCAAGTACAGCCAGCTTCCCACTGCTCCCTTCCTCCCACTGCTGCTCCAGCTCTGCTTCTGGCCATCAATAAAAGCATGTTCAAACTCTCTTGTGTCTGCAGCCTTCTTGGGAGCTGGATGCAAACCCTGAGTGTGAGCATGAGGAGATGGCACTCTGGGAGACCCTGGGCATAGGTGGGACATGCAGGACAGGTCTCAGTCCCCAAATGTTCCCCTTGTCTCCATCAGCCTCTTGCAGCCCAGCCAGCAGGCACAGCCTGTACAGAACATTTATCCAGCCTTTCAGAAACAGAGGCATCTCCACCTGCAAGGGGAGATCAGGTGGGTTTCTAGTGCCAACCTGAACCCCTCTTAGGATGCTTAGACAGACTAAAGACCAGCCAGCCTGTTTACACCCTGTCTCCCCTTCAATCTCCCTGAACCCCAGATGAAGCATTTTCTTTACACCTTTAAAATGTCTGTGGGTTGAATTGGAAACTTTCTCCCACTGGATCAGCTGATCAGACCTGACTGGGCCAGGAGGTGCCCTTGTGGTGTGATGATGGGATAGAAACTGTCAAATATGGCTGAGGCAAAAGCAGTCTTGCAGAGACAAGCCTGATCTCTTGTCTGAGGAACAGTTGCATTTCTTTCACGTTGTTTTGTTTTTCCTGATCATTTATCTACAAAGGCACAGAATGTACCCTCAGCATGTTTGCTGATGACACAGAACTGGAGGCTGTTCTGTCTTTCAGAGGGACCTTGACAGGCTGGAGAGTTGGGAAGAGAGAAACCTGAAGAGGTTCAGCAAGGACAAGTGTAGGGTCCTGCATTGGGGGAGGAATAACCCCAGGTACCAGGCTGGGGGCTGACCTGCCAGAGAGCAGCTCTGCAGAGAAGGACCTGGGGGTTTTGGTGGGTAACGAGTTGCCCATGAGCTGGCAGTGTGCCCCTGGGGCCAGGAGGGACAAAAGGATCTGAGGTGCATTATGAAGAGTGTGGCCAGAGGGTCCAGGAGGGGATCATGCCCCTCTGCTTGGCCCTGGTGAGGCACACTTGGGATGCTGTGTCCAGGCCTGCTCTCTCAGAACAGGAAAGAAAAGGAGCAGCAGGAGAAGGTCCAGCAGAGTCCTCAAAATTAATTAAGGGAACTGGAGCATCTCTCATGAGGAAAGACTATGGGAGCTGGGCCTGTTGAGTTTAGGACGAGATGAATGAGTCTCCTAAATGCATATAAATGTCTCAGAGTTGGGTGTCAAGAGGATGGGGACATGGCCAGAAAGGACCAAGGGTGGCCCACAGTCTGGCACATGCCCACTCCACACTTTACATCCAGTCCTGCAGCAGATTGTCTTTGATCCAGCACCCCATAAAAGCCCTTTCCACCCAAATTCCACCCCATAATGCCCCTCTCTAGATGCAGCACCTTCTTCCCTTTCATTTAGCCAATGTGTGCCATGATGCCTTAGGATTTGAGTTTCATATTTTTCAAATCCTCTACTGCATAGTGTGGAACTCTAAATTCCATATAGAGTGTTAACTGTCTTCACATTTTGGGCAGAGAAAACAATCCCTCCAGGCCTAAAATTCAAGGACACTTTACTGCTTCAGGCCCTGAAAAGGATAAACACCTTAGGGTGAGAAGAAAGGAAGGATGGGAGCAGTTATGCAGATTAAGTTATTCCATAGAAGGTTATGTTATGAACCCTGCTTTCTCATTGGTTAGTCTTGTGCTCTATATAAGGTATGGTTTCTGTTTCTCTTTCTTCATTGGTTCCCTGCCCTTTATATAGTTTGAGTTTGCCTCATTTCATTGTCTTCTGGAGGAGCTCCCTACAGTGTGCACCTTATGTGTTTGTTGTGTATTTATTGTTAGTGCGTCTTTTCTTTTTCTTTATTAAAAGGAAAATATTTTCCTTTATTTTCCCTTTATAATTTTGTTTGTTTTTCGGACACTCCCGTCACACCCATCCCTTGTTTTATTTATTGCCACGCTCCCGGCTGACCCGGTCCCAGGGCTGTGCTCGCCAGCGGACGCGGGATGCAGCAGAGCTGCCTGCCTGGGAAGACACGAGAAATGAGGGAAATCACAAGTGTTCTGTCAGGGGTTAAACTGTGAGATGTGTGACAGCAGGAGCCTGAGATGAGAGATGCAGGACTTAACTTTCTTGTCAAACTTTCATCCTTCCTTACATGTGACAATGTAATTATTCCTTTCCATCTCACTGTGGTCCTGCAGATTTGAGCAGAGCTCAAATGCAAATCCCTGTGAATGCAAATCCTTCAAATGCAAATCCCTGCTCCACCATGGTCTCTCCCAAGGACAGCAGGGGAATATTTGCTCTGGCACCAGGAGCACTCCCCTCTCCTTCAGTGATTTGCTGTTCACAGGATTGTTTCTCACACTCTGTTTTGCCTCACTGCTCACTGCCATGCAACATTTTGCCCTTTTGCAAATTTATTTTTGGAGAGGCACCACCAGCTTCATTGATTGACTTAACCCTGGCTCAGTGTGGGTCCATAATCACACCTTCTGGAACTGCCTGTGTCTGGTGTCAGAGCAGCGTGAAGGCAGCCCCTGGTGTGTTCTCACAGAGGTCACCGTGCTGAACACCACATCCCTGCTCACCACCACACCCCTGCTCACCACCACATCCCTGCTCACCACCACTTCCCTTTCCTGCTCTGGTGGTATCACCCCACCTTTGTGCTGCAAACCACCGTAGCCTTCCCCACCCTGAAGACGTTGTCTGCCACTGATCACAGATGGGAAACCCTGCATGCAGATGGTCACCAGAGCAACCAGAGCATGAATTGGAGCTGTTTTCTACTCTGCTGCACACTGACCCTGCCCTAGAGTCACACAAAATGGTCGAGGTGAGAAGGGACCTTCAGTTGTTGTCTGGTCCAATGCCCCTGCTCAAGCATGGCCACCTAAAGCACCGACTGCTGTCCTGGTCAAGGTCCACAAAAACCTTCATCTCCGAGAATGAAGACACCATAACCTCCCTGGCCAACCTGTACCAGTGCTTGGCCACCCTCACAGATAAATGTGTTTGCTGATGGTCAGACAGAGCCCCTCATATGTCAGTTTGTGCCCATTGGTTCTTGTCCTGTCACTGCACACCACTCTGAAATAAATGTGTATGTCTCCCACTTCTATCCTACCTTCAGAGACTTACATCCATGGATAATATCCCACCACAACCTGCTCTTTCCAGGGTAAAAGCTCAGCTGTGCCAGGCATTCCCTGTAGGAGAGATGTTCCAGTCCCTTCACCACCTCCATGCCACTTTGTTGAACTCTCCCAGCACATCTGTGTCTCTTTTACTGGGAGCTCAGAACTGCCCATGGTACTCCAGGTGCCACCTTACCAGTACTGAGTAGAGGGGAAGGATCACCTCCCTCGAGGTACTGGAAACAGCATCCTAGAATAATCTGAGTAGTAAGGAATCATCTAATTCATCCCCTATGCAATGAGCAGGGACACCTTCTGCTAGACCAAGTTACTCAGAGCCCCATCCAACCTTGAATGTTTCCAGGGATGGGGCATCTAAAGCTCTCTGGGCAGCCAATTTAATTGTTTTGACACTCTCATCATCAAAAATTTATTTTTTATATCTAATCTAATAATTAAGATGCTAATCATCTTCTTTATATATATTCTAATAACTAAGTGGTTTATCTACTGTCTTAATTTAAAACTATTAGCCTTATAGTACTGCAAAAGGCCCCAGTACAGACATCTGAGTGACAGGACTCATCATGATTTCCAGGCAGATATTCAGTTTTTCTGAATTCATTGTTTAAATATTTCTGATTCTAATTGTGCCTGAAAATTTCTATCACCTGTCCATCTCCTCACTGAGCCAGTTCTTTTCAGGATTCATGTCCTGGGAAAATTGGAGCGCAGGGGGGTCAGAGTAAAATATATGACATTATTTGTTAATTAAGATTTTTTTCTTTCAATAATTTTAAAAGGCCTTGAAAGCCTTTTGCAATGGTGATGAATATTGCATCTGTCTCTGTGTATAATTAGTACAGCAGGTAAAGGTAGTGCTAATTAGAGCAGAGAAAGGCTTTGCAAACAAAGCCTTAGGCACTGCTGTGGGTTGCAGTAATAGGAGAAGAGGCTGGAATAAGAATTGTCTTATTGCCAGCACATTAATCAAACTTTGAGTCAGGTCTCTCCCTGCTTGATCCCAAAGATATTTTCCTCTCTGCGCCTGATTCCCACCAGGGTATAAACGGGACTAATTCCCCATTAAAATGTTTCTATTTCCATTCTCCCTGTCACACGTAATTAGAACAAAAGACAAAGAGAAATTAAGCTGTAGGTATTCACTGAAACACAGCTGGGAGCTCCCTAATTAACCACACAATGCTTCCAGCACAAGAACAACCACAGAGCTCATTATGCCTGTCAGATTTTAATGAGCCCCTGCAGGACTGTGGTACCAGCTCCCAGCTCCTCGTGGCTGTGGCACAGTCTGGCAGGGTGCCTTGAGGAAATGACAAGGCAGAAGCAGGCACAAACTTACTGGGAGCTTTAATAGAGCCCAGTGCGAGGTGAGAGAGCAGAAACAGAGTTGGACAAAGTGTTCCCAGCAGGGCTCATTAAGGCACAGACTCACAGACTTTGATTACAGACAGCTCAGCAAGCCTCCAACTTCTCCTGTACCAACCTTCCCTCTCAGAAATCCAGCAGCAGGGCCCAGGCAGTGCCAAGGTGGTGTTCTGTGTCAGCAACCCACCCCCAGGCAGGGCAAAGGAGGGAACGGACCCAAACCTGCTCTTGCAAACCACAGGCAGAGGCACAGTCTGCTCTGCAGGTGTGTCCTGTCACTGCAACGCTGTCACTGCAACGCTGTCACTGCAACAC